ACCACCAGTATCATTCTGAAAGGGGAAGAATTGAAGGCCTTTCCCTTAAGAACAGGAACAAGACAAGGATGCCCACTCTCACCACTTCTATTTAACATAGTGCTAGAGGTACTAGCCAGAGCAATCAGGCAAGAGAAAGAAATAAAGGGAATCCAGGCTGGAAAAGATGAACTCAAACTTTGTCTATTTGCAGGTGACATGATAATATATGTAGAAGAACCTAAAGACTCTGTCAAAAAAACTCCTAGAGCTAGTTAATATCTTCAGTAATGTTGCAGGATACAAAATAAATGCCTCCAAATCAGTAGCATTTATATACTCAAATAATTAGTTAACAGAAAGAGAAATAAAGTAAGCCCATTTAAGTTGTCATGAAGAAAATAAGATATCAGTTTAACCAAGGAGGTGAAAGACCTCTACAATGAGAACTACAGACCACTTCTGAAAGAAATTAAAGACACAGAAAGATGGAAAGATATTCCATGCTCTTGGATTGGAAGAATTAACATTGTGAAAATGTCTATACTACCCAAAGCAATCTACAGATTCAATGCAGTCCCCATCAAAATACCAATGACATTCTTCACAGAAATGGAAAAAACAATCTTACCTTTTGTATTAGTCCGTTTTGTGTTGCTATCACAGAATACCCGAAAGTGGGTAATTTATAAGGAAAAGAGGTTTATTTGGCTTATGATTCTGGGACAGCTGCATCCAGCATGGGCCTCAGGCTGCTTCTACTCATGGCAGAAAAGTAGCAGGCAGCTGGCGGCTACAAGCAGATCACGTGGCAAGAGGAAAAGAGAGAGAGAGAGAGAGAGAGGAGGTGCCAGGGTCTTTTTAAGCAACAAGCTCTTGTGGGAACTAANACTGCCACATTGGAGATCAAATTTCCACATGAGTTTTGGAGTGGACTATACATCCAAACTCTATCACCTTTCATATAGAAAAATGAAAGACCCCAAATAACAAAAACAATCCTGAGCAAAAAAAAACAAAGCCGGAGGCATAACACTACCTGACTTCAAGTTATACTACAAAGCTATTGTAACCAAAACAGCATGGTACTGATATAAAAATAGACATTCAGACCAGTGGAGTAGAATTGAGAACCCAGGAATCACCCCTCAGGCTTATAGCCATCTGATATTGGACAAAGGCAACAAAAGTCTATATTGGGAAAAAGACTGCCTCTTCAACAAGTGGTGCTGGGAAAACTGGATATCCATATGCAGAAGAATGAAACTAGATATGCATCTCTCACCATATGCTAAAATCAACTCAATATGGATCAAAGACTTAACTATAAGATGTGAAACTGTAAAATTACTAAGGAAAAATATAGGTGAAACACTTTAGCAATTAGGTCTGGGCACAGGCTTTATGAACATGAGCCCAAAAACACAAGCAGCAAAAGAAAAATAAACAAATGGGACTATATCAAACAAAAGTTTCTGCACAGCAAAGGAAACAATCAACAGAGTGGGAGAAAATTTTTGCTAACTATGCATCCGACAAGGGATTAATATCCAGAACATACATAGAACTCAAGCAATTATACAGTAAAAAAAAAAAAAACTCAATTAAAAAGTGGGCAAAGGAGCTGAATAGATATTTTTCAAAGAAGGACATACAGATGGCC